CCGGCGGGGGGCGCCGACGGCAGCCGGGCCGGGGCCGGGGCCGGGGCCGGGGCCGAGCTCGAGGCCAACCCCTTCTACGACCGCTACCGCGACAAGATCCAGCAACTGCGAAGGTGCGGCACCGGCCGGCAGCGGGCGGGAGGAGGGCGGCGCGGCCCGCGTTTCCGGTGTCTCGGACGCGGTCAGTGCTTAGCACAGCCCTGCGAGGCGGGCACTGTTACTGTCCCCACGCTGTAGATGATGTCGCTGGGCTCAGGCAGGTCACTTGCTTAAGATCACACAGCTAGTGTCCGAGCTGAGAGTCTCTGCAAAGCTCTGGCTCTTTCCCCAGTTGTCTGTCTGTATGCTTTAGTTCGCCAAACGCTGAGCTGGACTCGTATGACAGCCCTTATGAAGCAGGCAGCTCCAAGAGACCTGTCCTCATCATGGAAATGGGAAAATGGAGCCTTCCAGAGAAGGGACTGGACTTGCTCAAGGTCACGTATTGAGTAAGCCAAGGCCTGGTCTAGAACTCGGGTTCCCAGGCTCCTAGCTAGAGTCCTGACTGCAAGGAAAGGAGACTGGGGGTGGGAGCAGGGCATCAAAGACTTGACAGTGTCACAGTTGGATCATCTTAATAAAAGGGTTAGGAGTGAATCCTTTTATTAAGATAAGGAAACTGAGGGTCAGGGAGAGTAAGAGACCTTCCAAAGGTCACACAGCTGGTTGGGATTCATCTGACTTGGAATCCGAGTTAACACTGCCCCTCAGCTTCTAGGGGAAAGGACCTGGAGATTAGAGGGAGTTGAGGTGGGTGTAAGAGGGTTATGGGAAGGTCTGACGAGTTCAAGTGGAACGAGCTGAAGGAGATCAAAGGTGAAATTAAAAGGGACTTGGGAGAGAATTTGGCAGGGTAGGCAGGCAGTTGTCTCATGAAAGGAAACCAAAAAGTGAGTAATATAGCTTTGAGTTCTCTCTCATCTGTGCTTCCATGCCTTAATTCGCTCCCCCATCAGCTTCACCTGGGACTCTTGCAGTCATACTCCAGCTAGTCTTCCCACTTCCAGTCCTAGACCCTCCACCCCCATCCATCTCACTGCTACTGTGGTGATCTTTCTTCTCTTTTTGAAAGAATGATGGAATAAATGAATGAGTATTTTGGCTCTCCTTCTAACAGCATTCAGATATACCCAAGTATTTGTCATCTTAAAAACCTTTCATTGATCTGCATACCCCTTCAGCCATTTCTTATGGATCCCTTTCACGGACAAGCATCTCAGAAGAGTTGTCTACTCATCCTCTGAGTATTTCACAGCTCTCATTCATCCTTACTCATGAACAAATGAATACCTGGTTTTACTCTCCTTCCCTGCTAGGTCATTCCCATCAGCATTTATGCATACTGCTATCTCCTGAAGAGTGTGCTTTCAAGGCACCCCATTGACCTCTGGATAATGTCCATATTCCTTAATGTTCCACACAGGCTTTGATCCTTGTCTCTCTAGCTTTATCTGTTACCAAAACCTCCTTTGAGTACTGTGATCTGTCACAAAGGAGTAAAGGAATGGGGTTGGGAGAGGATGTTCCAGGTAGGGGCAGCAGCAGCAGCAAAGGTACAGAGGCATGAAACCACCTCAACCATTTGGGAATGTTTGAGCAAATTTTCGTCATAATACCTGTAGTCCTTTAATGTACTTATTTACATGTCTGTCCCTCTCACTAGATACTAAGCTCCTTGAGGTAGGGACTCGGGCGTATTTACTTTTGTATCCCCAGAGTCCAGCAAAGTAACCAACAGGCAAGAGACAACAAGTAAAGTTCGTTAAATGAATGAAAAGGAGAAGGGAAAAGGTAAGTCCTAGAAGAAGCTGAGTGAGACAAGAGCTGGGAGGGAAAGCTGTGTGGATACAAAAAAAGAAAAGAACATGAGGTTGAGGTAGATGAAAAGGGAGATATGAAAGCAGGACCAAAAAAGGGTCAGTAAAACCTAGACCAAGTTAAGGGAAGAGTCAAAACAGGGCCTGGCCTTAGGGCCCAGGACCAAACAGGTAGGATATCATGAGATGCTTTAAAAGGAATTACAGTCCTGGGTTAGTGCTGGGGCATAGGCACTAAAACCTGGGCTCTTGGAGCACCAACTGCAAGTTTGGTGTGAGCCAACCGCAGGACAAGGCTGTGTGCCGTGCTGACCCCATTCTAGCCCAGTGTCTGGGTTTTTGCATCATCTCATTGCCAAGGAGCTGGAGTCCCTGTGTAGTGTCTTCACCAAAGTGCACGTTGCATTGGTGAATTGGAAGGATTTGGTCTAGTTCCAGGCCCACTCTATTCTAGAGTGTGGACAAACTGGAGAATGTCCAGAGAGGCAGGTCCTCAGTGAGGAGAGATTCACAAATCACGTATATAGAAGGGAGCCAAAAAAACCTAAGGAAATTTAACCTAGGGAAGAGAAATTTAGAGTGTGATATAATAGTGATTTTCCAGTACTCATATAAAAGGAATTAGCCATTTTCTCTTGTTCCTGAGGGTGAAAGATACAGAGAGACAGATTTAGGTTTTGAATGTTTTTATAATAAAAGATGTCCAGAGTGGGAGTGCACAGACTCCACTTGCTAGGCCACCCTTGCTCTCTCTATCCACTCACCATGGCAGGCCCAGGTACAGATGTAAATGTTGGCAGCACTGACCCCGGTCCTGGCACTTGCAAGCCCTGGCCGCACAGGTGCCACACCCCACCAAGTAGGACTCCTGGAGCAACTCGGTCCCCAGGAGCCGGCCTGCTATAGAGGGGAGGAAAAAGATCTGCCCATATACATGGCAGTGAAGGGAGTGGTGTTTTGATGTCACCTCCAGAAAAGAGTTTTATGGAAAAGGAGCCCCTACAGTGCCTTGACCAGGAAGGACCCAACCAGAGAGGTGACCAAGATGTCCTTGGATCCTGCAGACCTCACCCATAACACTACAGGTCTCATCGTTAAGGAGCTGGAGTCCCTGTATAATGTCTTCACCAAAGTGTACAGAGCCAGATATCACAGTGTCAGCTATACGGCCTGAAGAATTCTTAACAAGGGCAGCAGCCCCAACCTGGACTTTAGGCCTAAAGACCAGCCCATTTGACATACAGGACAGGTTCTGATGTTCCGTCTACAGGAGCAGATTCTTTGGGTCAGGGAGATATTCAGGTGCTAAATCTTCTGCAAAATAGGCTGCCTGAAGCCTCTGAATCGCCTGCATCTGAATAAACAGATGTTTAACCTGGGTAGGGGGAGAAGGAGATGGACAAGAACTAGATGTGTTCAAGTAAAAGCTTGACACCTAGTAGGAATGCTGTTGGATTCCTGCCTGAGGAAGTGACCCAGCTAGATGACCGCCAAGTCCCCTTCCCATTCTGAGGATTTGAATTCCAAGTACCCAGAGTGTAAGTACCCAAGGGACCAAGCTCTGTGTCACCACTAGGGAATATCCTGCAGGAGAGAAATGTTAGACAGGCCTTTTGAGGGTTAACATTAGTTGAATAACTGGATTTCTTTTTCCACTTTTGTAGGCCTGTGCTTAGGCCTAACTTAACTGTAGGCAGATCCTTCAGCCTCTAAATGCCTGCATCCTCTCTTTGCAGAAGTGGAACATGATGCTTTGTTATTTCCAAATCTGAAAAGGTCCAGGTGGTTTAACTTTTGGTTTACCTTTGAGCAGGTCTGACCCAGCTGCTTTTGAGTTCCGACTGGAGAAGCGGAGTGAGTTTCGGAAGCAGCCAGTGGGACATTCCAGGCAAGGTGACTTTATCAGATGTGTGGAAGAGAAGGTAAGACCTGCCCCTTTCTGTGTGTTGGCTCACCAGTGCTCTACACCCTCACTCCTGATCCTAATCCTGAGAGTGGGCTCACTGATGGGTCAGCTGGATGAACTGAACATAGCCTCTCTCTACTCAGCTCAGTCTCCATCCATAAATCGTATCCTGTTCTTTCCGGCAAGGTACGTGGTCATGGTGGAGATAGAGAGATGAAAAGGGTAGTCCCTCCTCCCAGGGGGTGAAGTCAAGTGGTCAAGGCAAGGCAACATGGCAGTGGGCTATAGAGATCAGGGGGCAGAAAAGTGCTTAATAGCTATTATTATCCTTAAACAAGAATCAAAGCTGGGGAAAAGCATGTTGAAAGCTGTATATAGGAAAACTAATCTAACACAGTGCTTTTCAAACTTTGACCGTGACCTACATTAAGAAATATATTTTACATTGCACTTCGGTTCGCACCTATGTATATGATTATAACTGAAACAAAATTTTTACAAAACAATGCTTACTTTTACTACATGCAATTCACACTTATTATTTTTTTCATCTTTTAAAAAACTCTGGCCACAATCCACTAAATTGATTTCACAACCTGTGATTTGAAAAATGCTAATCTAGGGTGGCACACAGGACAAATTAGAGTGGGAGAGGACAAAACCAGGGAGAATATGCAGTAATCCAGGTGTGAGCTGTATAGGCCTGAAATAAGGCAGTTACAGTGGAAAATTGAGATTCTATATTGTGTTTTAAAATGAGAAATGTTTATTTTATACTTGGCAAATGACTTTTTTTGCCTTGGGTATCCTAAATTTTAAGAGCATCTATTCACTCTTTTAATGACTAGTCAAGTTAATTAGAACAAAAACAATAGTCAGTGTGCTAATCATCACAACGTTGGGGAGCAAATTCAACCTCTTGTGACAAACATAGTTTACAACTAACTTTATGTGAACGAACAACTCTACTACAAATATTTTAACAAATGTAATTTCCTATAATAAACATTTATAGTATCAAGGTTACAAATCAGTAGCTCTTGGAAATATTACTGTATTATAAACATTCAATATTATATGGGAAAGCTCCTTGCCCCTTTTTGTAAACAGACTTAGAAATTCAGCTTTATGATGACAAGATGCAGAATAAGTAAAGATTTAATTTAAATTATGGCAACTCTTAGGTAAATACTCACTTACTGTCCTTCTCATCTAGCCAGGTAGAGGAAGGCTAATGGCTAATAGCTCCGTTCCCGAAGCCTTTTCTTTACTTTGGGTCGTTGGTTCCCTATCACGTGAGACCTAACATCCCCTTTTTATAATAATTTTTTTTTTAATTCTCCCTTTTCTACCCTGAAATGAAATGTAGACAGTATAACCCACCTACACACATAATTTCAGGGGGGAAAGTCAATGTAATGCCGTAACAGTAATATAAAGGAAAGTATTTTTTAATAAAATACATATTTTAGTATGTAAGTTCTTAGGCACACTATCCTGTGAGACCTAATGCAGTCATCAGATGCTTTCACCTATATGTGAAATCACCATGAATACATAAGCAGCAAATGCTGCCTGGTACACAGGTGTTGTGTTGGTAATTATAAAAACTTCCAAACCGTGAACAGTGTTGTTATCACTGACCCTCATGAGATTCCACAATGTACAGTCTTCTCTCCAAGTTATGTGGTAGTTGCATTTCTGAAAAATTCAGTGTTTATTAAAGTTGTATTAAAAAAAAAAAACAGAGTTAGATTCTAGGCCCAGGTAATTATAAAAAGGTTTTTCACCTACAGGGCTATCTGGCTAGACATGGAAAAGTGGTGTAGGGTGAGGGAAAATTCTTCATTACATAAAACTCATCTGCAAAATACAGCTCATTTGGCACTTCTGCCACTCCTATAAATGCAGGTGTCACCATCCAATCAATTATTGTGATAACAAAAAAGTTGTCCCCATAGATTTCCTAAGCATCCATAGAGAAGTAGTAAAGTATCCTTTTAAATTTCTTATTAAATGCTCTTGAGACTTTTGGCACATAGTTTCAACTATAATTTTAATTACTTTATTTCATTGGTTCTAAAGCCCGCATTTTTTTAATATTTTAATGTCTCCAAAATTGTCTTAAAATTGATGTGATATGAAAGTATTATGTCATTTAATTGGCATCATTTTCTGATAGATAAAATAATGGTACTTCTTAAGATCAGTGATGTCTTAAATTAGATAAAATACAATAAGCTTATATTTGGAGCTTAAATTTTTTATTTCTGTAAGTGAAAATGGAAACAAAGAATGCATTGGAGGGACATTGTGGGAAAAGAATACACCCAGCTTAGTGATTGAAAGGTGAATGCAGCTGCATGAATGGAGGGTTTTGTTTTGTTTTCGCGATATACCTGAAGGTGAGGGGTGTGAAAATGAAATCAACATTTTCTTTTCCAGACAGTTTACATATGAAGGAAAGGCTGCATTAGGATGCTGCCAATGTGTAGGATTATGACCAAAAAGAACAGAGTCGGGGCCGGCCTGGTGGCACAAGTGGTTAAGCGTGCGTGCTCTGCTTCCGCGTCCTGGGGTTCACAGGTTCGGATCCCGGGCGCACACCGACGCACTGCTTGCCAAGCCATGCTGTGGCGGTGTCCCATATAAAGTGGAGGAAGATGGGCACGGATGTTAGCTCAGGGCCAGTCTTCCTCAGCAAAAAAAGAGGAGGATTGGCTTGGATGTTAGCTCAGGGCTGATCTTCCTCACAAAAAAAAATATATAAAAAAATATTTAAAAAAAAGAACAGTGTATCTGGTAGGTTTTTCTACACCAGGCTTTTGTCTAATTTGTGAGTAAGAGTTCTATGGGCATCATTTATGAAAGATTTGGATTCATTAAAGCACAGAGTAATGAAAGGCAGGGTTTTATGCAGAAAGTGTTTTTCAGCCTCAGAATCCCAGGTGTAGATTGTACTCCTTCCCTCTGAAAGGCTTGGTCTTGAACTAAGATTGAGTCTGAGGAAGACTCAGAACAACCCATCCCTACTATCGGAAACAACTTGAAATAGGATTTCCTGACTGTGGCCTTTTCAGATAGGTGGGCTAGGAGAGAAAAGAATCACTTTCAGTTATTCTTGGCCTTTTTTGAGGGAGAGTCTAGTTTGATGGAGGGAATATTAAGACCTGGTACTGGGAAAGACTCTATAGTCTGCTGAGGATGTGTGCTGTCAGAAGTGCTGTCACAGATAAGAAGCAGCCTTAGAAAATATGTCTTTCCATTTCTCACCTCCTCTGTGGCTCACTGTGGAGTAGATCAGAGGGCGGAGCACAGGAAACCCAAGCAGGCCTCATTCTAGGAAGGAGTCCCTCCTATCCATAGTGGCAGGTATAGAATGGATTCTCAGTAGTAGTAGTGGTGGTTACTAACAAAGAAATCCTTTCTCATTTTTGTATCTCAGAAGGTTAGTCAGGGCCGGCCCCGTGGCTTAGCAGTTAACGCACACTCCGCTACTGGCAGCCCGTGTTCGGACCCCGGGCACGCACCGACGCACCACTTCTCCGGCCATGCTAAGCCATATCCCACATACAGCATCTAGAATGATGTGCAACTGTGACATACAACTATCTACTGGGGCTTTGGGGGAAAAAAAGGAGGAGGATTGGCAATAGATGTTAGCACAGAGCCGGTCTTCCTTAGCAAAAAGAGGAAGATTAGCATGGATGTTAGCTCAGGGCTGATCTTCCTCACAAAAAAAAAGAAAGAAAGTTAGTCAAAGAAAAGTTGTCTCACAAACAATAACTCTTAGAACAATGTGTATAGTTACTATATAGAGTGGAGAAAAGTGAGTTCTCAGGTACAGAATTACTAAATGAGATAATTGGGCACCTTACCTAGCTTGGTGGTCTTTTTCTTATGAGTAAAGTATAGATTAATATCTTTTCTCATCATGTATTTCAGACAGACACTTTGGGGAAACAGCCTGTGAGCAGAGGATTCACTAAGGACAAGGTAGGTTTCTATTAAATATCCAAGTCTGAAGTCATATGGAACATCTATAACAAGAGGCTGCAAATTTGAACATATTTACTGTGACTCTTTGATTTTCCAGCTGTGGAGATGAGAAATATTTCTATGAATTTTTGTGTCCTTGATTTGACCCCTAGCATAGTATGGGTTCTGGGAGTGCTAGAGGGAATATGAAGGAAATATAGAGATACCCTTCCTTTCCATAGGAAGTAGTTTAAAAAAATCAAATAAAAGCATATTTACTTTGTCATTTAATTTGCAAATAAGGAGCCACCCCTGCTAGAATAGCAGTTGAAGTAAACAACCAAACTTTCTCCTCTTACCAATGCTCATTAGTGAAGGTGAAGCATTTGGGAAGTACCTATAGATACTCCCGGGGAATAGAACTGTGAAACCCTGCCTGGACTGGGGGCTCCCTTCTCTGAGCATGCAGGTTTTCTTATACTTGTTCTCTGCTTATTAAAGATCTGCTTCACTGTCCTGACATGCTTCTTCCCACAAGGCTTACAGATAGAGTTAAGCTGTTTTATTTTTTTAATTGTGGGTGTTAATTGCTTTTTATTTTCTCTTTCAGACTCTCAGTTCAATCTTTAACATTGAGATGGTAAAAGACAAAACTGCAGAAGAAATAAAACAGGTAATGAATGAAAATGGGTTGGCATACTTCATGAAAATGTGTGCTCTGTGAGCCAAATCTGAAAGTAGAAAGGAGCATACATTTCCTGACACTTCTTTCTAGAAAGAGAAAGCAAAAGTGATGAATTAAATGAAAAACAGTGGCATAAGAAAACTTGTCTTCCTTGGTCTCACTCCTGTATGTCTAATCAACTCACATTTCCCCTTTCTTTTTCATTCCTGTTGCCCACATCTTATTTGAAATCATCACTACTCTATACCAGGATTACTGCATTACCTTTCTAGACAGGTTTCCCTGCTCTCATTTCTCCCACTCCCCCTATCATAGCCTTACCAGTTGAGAGGTCTTAAAGTTGTGCTTTCATTTTGGAGAAGCAGAGTGTATTGGTTAAGAACGCAGACTCTAGAACCAAGTAGCCTGTTTTAAGTCCTAGCTCTGCCACTTACTAGCTGTATGACTTTGATAAGTTAGTTAACCTCTCTGGGCCTTTAGTTTCCCTGTCTGTAAAGTGGAGATGATAATAATACTTACCTCATAGAGTTATTTGGGGAATTAAACAAGTTAATATTTGTAAAGCACTTAGAATAGTGCCTGCCACAGAGTAAGTACTATATTTGTGTTTTTAAATAAGTGAATAAAAATAAATATGGGGGCCGGCCCAGTGGCGCAAGCGGTTAAGTACGCGCCCTCCACTGTGGCAGCCCGGGCTTTGCTGGTTCGGATCCCGGGCCCACACCGATGCACTGCTTGGCAAGCCATGCTGTGGTGGTGTCCCATATAAAGTAGAGGAAGATGGGCACGAATGTTAGCCCAGGGCCAGTCTTCCTCAGCAAAAAAAAAAAGAGGAGGATTGGCAGGTCTTAGCACAGGCCTGATCCCCTCACAAAAAAAAAATAATAAATAAATAAATAAATAAATATTATGTAAGAAACCTGCTTGCAAATGTTCAGTGATTTCCCATATTCCTTTGCTTGGCATTCAGAGTCCTCCATTATTATAAGACCTTCTGCAGGAAGCTTCCTGGACACCTTCCTTCAAAGCATTCAAATCCTGCCTGTTTGGTCATTCCATATATCTTGCTTTGCTTTGGTATTTAAATTTTCATGTCTATGAATCTTATCTCTCTAATTAGACTATAATAAGCTATTTATTGGCTTTCCTTATAGTTCCATGAATTATATTTTAGGTATATTGAGAGAATCAAAGTATAATAAAAGCAGTATACTATGTGTCAGATACTGACTTACTGCTTCATATGCACTGTTTCATTAAATTCTTATAATCATCTTGTAGGTGCTATTATTTCCCATTTACAACTGAGGAAGCTAACTTAGAGATTAAGTAACTTAGTGAGTGGTAGAGCTAGGACTCAACCCATGTCTGTTTGACTCTGCATCATACTCCTTTACAGGAAGTTGTGCCACTTGCCATGGGTTTTCTTTGGATCCTTCATCATTCGATTCAGCAAGCGTTTACTGAATACCTATTAAATGTCAGGCTCTGTGCCAGACACAGAATAAATGAGAGAATCCCCTACTCTCAAGGAGTTTTAGCCCAGTCGAAGGACAGACACAAAAACAAAGACAGCAGAGGGTTCTAACTTCTGTTAATAGAGGCTTATGCAAAGTCTCAGGAAGACCTCAAACTGTGCCTTTGGGAAGAAATGCCACTGGAAAGTGGAGACCAAGCACGTCCTTTAGGGGAGAGAGAAGCCAGGCCCGGGAGGCCTAATCATATGACAAATGTCATTTAGACCTCTAATTTTAGATACAAATTTGTGTTTGTTAAAATAATTTTGAGTAACCAAGGTCAACTATCTTAGGAAATATCTTAGTCTTATATATTTCAGTGTTGATTCATAAACTATGTACTAATATAAATTAAATAAAAGTAAATAGAATATGCTGTCCTTAAAATGAGAAGACAGTGTTTTGATATGCAAAAAAACAAAAAAAAGGCAAAGCAACCTTATATTGGCAGTGATAGAGTGATCTGCCCAGGTCTTAGGAGATAACAGTCCTTCTGTGTTCTGTTTTGGTTAGATCACACATTGATTAGTGTCTCCAGTTGGGGTCCCCCATTTTAATGGGAATGCTGACAAAGCAGAGCAACTCCAAAGGAGGGTGACCCATTCTTTAACACCAGCTCACTCAGGTGCCACCTTGGGTATGATGCCTTCCCCAACTTCTGTGCCTTTGCTAATGCTGTAATTCTCTGTTTAGAATGTCTCTCTTATCTTCTACCTGTTTATCTCCCCAGCCTCTGTTCATCTAGTTGACTCCTGATCATTCTTCAGGATACAGCTTCCTCCTCTGGCTCTTGTTGCCTTACTTGGGTTAAGTGCCTTTTTGTTGCTCTCAGAGCACCTGGGCTCTGGTTTGCATTATAATTCTGTTGTGCTAAGCACAAACCTACATTAATTCAACTAGTCTTCACAATAGTCCTGTGAGGTTGATATTATTGCTATTTTATTGATGATTATATTGATATTATTTAGAGATTTTCAGTAATTTTCCCAAAGTCGCGTGGCCAGCAAATGATTAGACCTGGGATTGCATCTAGGTCTGCCTGACTCCAGACCCTGGGTTCTGAATGACTGATGTCCAGGCTTTCTGAGAATGCCCACAGTTGGCTGGGGAGTATGGGTTTGGGGAGGGAAGAGAGAAGATATGAAAAAAAGAACTTATCTGTTATACCAAAGGCACATCTTGAGCAAAATGATTAACAAGGTCATAGAATCCATTTCTCTGACAGGAATTTGTTATTAAGAGTTACAGTTTAATCATCTAGAAGAGTAGATGCTATTAAATCTTTTTTGTAATCATGTACTAGTAATAAAAGCATTACATTGGGTTTTCCTCCCTGTTAACAAATAGCATATTACTCTGAGCAATGAAAGCTGTCACCATTTCTTGTCACAGGTTGAAAAGATTACCCACATGTCATAGACACCCTCTTTTTTGTACAGATTTGGCAGCAGTATTTTGCAGCAAAAGATACAGTCTATGCGGTTATTCCTGTAAGTAGTTTGGAGGGGAAAATGGAAGTGTTGTAATATGAAGGTCAGGTCTCTAACCTTAGCAGGCAGTTGCCTTTACTTTTCCTATGTTTATTGCCTCTTGAGAACTTGCCTTTATAGCTCTGAGGGGTTTTATTGTACCCTAAGTACCAAAGATTGGATGTTCCATATGGTGTATTTATGGTTCTTATTTTCCCTCTCTCTGGTTTAGAAATGTAGCTTTGAGTCAAGTCTCTGATAAGGGAACATGGTGTAAGTTCATGTGCTGAGCAATTTCCAAGCTTCCAATTTCCAAGTCTTTTATTTCTTTTTGGTGTTTTCCAACTGAGCTGTTGGAATTTAAGACAGGGCCTCTAGCATAGCTTTCTTCCCTTCTTGTCCGTAAGTGACCTATACCTGAGCTGACTTGGAGCCTTCTCCTAGTCTCTGTCTGGCATTTCCCCTTAGCAAGTGGCATTTTCTTGGTTTTTTTCCCTTTCTTGAAATTGCTGTCTTAGAGATAGTCACTGGCCGCTGCTTGACCATTGAGATCTGTGACTGGGAAGGGGTGCTGCTATTTTCTTCTGGTTTAATGTCCTTCTACTGACTTCTACCATAAGAAAGCATTTGATGTACTGGGTTATCAGCTAATTCTTTAATTTTTCTTCTTCCCTGAAGAGGAAGTAGCTTAGATTAATTTAAATCAAGCAAATATGTAAATATATACAAATATATACTGAGCCTACATGTGTAAGTGTAAGATTAAGGAGGAAAACTTATAGACGGAAAAATAAAGCCAGGCCCTTTGGTTGTTGTGAGAATATTGCTATCTTGTTTTTTTGCCTCTTATACATATATACCCTTGCCCTTCATGAGTTCAACAGCCAAAGGGATTTGCATTTTTCATGATATTTTAGATCTCTGATATTGACTCATTATTTGAACAGGGCTTGTTAGCTCTCCCTCTGACAGACTTAACTGACCTGGCGTCTCTGACACTTGGCAGAGTCCCCTGGAGAGTTGGGAATATTTGGAGTATCTACTCTTCACACATAATTCTGACACTGAACAGCAAAGCATACGTCTGGTTTTTCCTCTCTGTCATATGAGGGATTTGTAAATGATGGAACTTAAGAGATTGTTTTAGTTGTATTTTAGTTATAGAGTTCAGTCTTGGTGAATTTAAATGTAATTGTGGCCTTTTGTGTTTTCTTATCTGTGGATTTTATTCTTTTCTGACCTATAGCAAGAGAAGTTTGATTTGATCTGGAACCGGGCTCAGTCCTGTCCAACAGTAAGTTTCCAGTGACCATGAGGATTGCTTATCAATGCTGCCAAACAAGGATGTTCTCTAACCAATCTCTTCATGCTCCATACTATCTCACATGTTATAGTGCTCTGTTTATTTAACAAAGATGCTTATTTGTTGATTGTACTGATAAGTGAGATTTTCAGCCTTATGAAATCATGTGGGTTTGGCCCGGTATGTCTCTGGCTTTTTAGCTCTCTGACACATCTCAGCCTTTTCTGATCTGGATCTTAATCTATCAGTATAAGTGAATGTTGGAAGCAGCACCTGAGACCTTAATTTTTTTTTTTTTCAATTTTATTTATTTATTTTTTCCCCCAAAGCCCCAGCAGATAGTTGTAGGTCATAGCTGCACATGCTTCTAGTTGCTGTATGTGGGATGCGGCGTCAGCATGGCCGTAGAAGCGGTACGTCGGTGCACGCCCGGGATCTAACCCGGGCCGCAAGCAGTGGAGTGCACGCACTTAACCGCTAAGCCACGGGGCCGGCCCAGACCTTAATATTTTCAAGCTCCTTGAAGTTTCTCTTTTATTGGCAGTTTTCTTTTCAGTTTTGGCCATGCTATCCTGTTTATTATGTGCCTAAAAGGAATTATGAGATTGTTGCTGGAGTAATGAGCTGCCAAAAGATCTAAGGGAAAGGGGATAGGTGAGGTAGACCAGCTGACTTGGTGTCAGTAATAATTTCTAGGATTCTCAAAAGAATTTTCCACACATTGCTGAGAGAAAATAAAATCTAAGTAAATGGAGAGAGAAATGGTGTTCATGGATTGGATGACTCAATATTGTTGTCATTTCTCCCCAGTTGATCTCTAGATTAACTATAATCCCAATCAAAATCCCAATAGGATTTCTTTTTAAGAAATTGACAAGCTGGGCTGGCCCAGTGGCTTAGTGGTTAAGTGCACGCGCTCCGCTACTGGCGGCCCGGGTTCGGATCCCGGGTGTGCACCGACGTACCGCTTCTCTGGCCATGCTGAGGCTGCATCCTACATACAGCAACTAGAAGGATGCGCAACTATGACATACAACTATCTACTGGGGCTTTGGAGGGGAAAAAAAAAAAAAAAGGAGGAGGATTGGCAATAGATGTTAGCTCAGAGCCGGTCTTCCTCAGCAAAAAGAGGAGGAATAGCATGGATGTTAGCTCAGGGCTGATCTTCTTCACAAAAAAAAAAAAAAAGAAATTGACAAGCTGATTATAAAAATTTATTTGGATATCCAAAGGACCTAAAATAACAAAACAATTTTGAAAAAAACAAAGAGAACTTACACTAACTGATTTCAAGACTTATTATAAAGCTACAATGATGAAGACAGTGTGGTATTGACAGAAAGATAGACATATAGATCAGTGAACAGAATAGAGAATCCAGAAATAGACCAACATATGTGTGGTCAGTTGTTTTTCAGCAAAGGTGACAAGATAATTAAATTGGAAAAGGATAATCTTCAACAAATGGTGCAAAAAAATTGGATATCTATATGCAAAAAAATGAACCTCCACTCTTACACTGGATCTAAAAATTAACTCAAAATAGATCATAGATGTAAATGTAACTTGTAGAAAAAACAATATTAGATTGAATCTTAGTGATCTTGGGTTTAGCAAAGATTTCTTAAGTACATCACAAAACACAAACTATGAAAGAAAAAAAATCAATAAATTGGATTTCATCAAAATTAAATTTTTCTATTTGTATACTCATGTTCATAGCAGCATTAGCCCCAATAGCCAAAAGTTGGAAGTAACCAAGTGTCCACTGATAGATGAATGGATAAACAAAATGTGGTATAAACACAAGAAATTATTATTCAGCCTTAAAAAGGAAGGAAATTCTGACACATGCTACAACATGGCTGAACCTTGAAGACATTATGCTAGGTGAAATAAACCAGTCACAAAAAGACAAGTACTGTATGATTCCATTTATATGAGGTACTTAAAGTAGTCAAATTCATAGACAAAGTAGAATGGGGGTTGTCGGGCTGGGAGGAAGGGGAATAGGGAGTTATTGTTTGATGGGTATGGATTTTCAGTTTGGGAAGATGAAAAAAGTTCTGGAGATGGATAGCGGTGATGGTTGTACAACACTGGGAATGTCCTTAATGCCACTGAATTGTACCCTTAAAATAATTAAAATGGGGGGCCGGCTTGGTGGCGTAGTGGTTAAGTTCGCACTTCGGCGGCCCAGGGTTCACGGGTTTGGATCCCAGGCACGGACCTACACACTGCTCATCAAGCCATGCTGTGGTGGCATCCCACATAACAAAATAGGGGAAGATTGGCATGGATGTAGCTCAGGGACAATCTTCCTCAAGCAAAAAGAGGAGGATTGGCAACAGATGTTAGCTCAGGGCCAATTTTCCTCACAGAAAAAAAAAAAAAGAAGTTAAAATGGTAACTTTTATGTTATGTATATTTTACCACAATAAAAAAAATTAAAATTTTCTACTTTTCAAAAGACATTGTTATGAAAATGAAAAAACAAGCTACAAACTGGAAGAAAATATTTGCAAGACATATATTGACAAGTAACTTGTATCTAGAATATATTAAAAACTCTTAAAACTTAATAATAAGAGGGCAGGCTACCCAATTAAAAAATGGACAAAAGATTCAGACAATTCACCCACGAAGTGGAATGGCAGATAAGCACCTGAAAATATGCTCGACGTCATTAGTCATAATGGGAATGCAAATTAAAACCACAGTGAGATACTACTAGAATTACTAAAATTAAAAAGACTAGCATACCAAATATTGGTGAGGATATGGAGCAACTGGAACTCTGATATACTGCTGGTAATAATGTAAAATGGCACAACCACTTTAGAAAACAGTCTGGCAGTTTCTTTAAAAGTTAAGCACGTACCATACTACCCAGCCATTCTACTCCTAGATATTTTCCCAAGAGAACTGAAAGTGTATGTCCATACAATGCCTTGTACACAAAAGTTCATAACAGCTTTATTTGTGATAACCAAATACTGAAAAATATCCAGATCTATCACAGGTGAATGAATAAAGAAATTGTGGTGTGTGTGTGTCTGTGTACATATACATACACAATGGAATAATACTCAGCAATGAACTATTGCTGAATAGTTCAGAAATGAACTATTGATATATGCACCAACATGGATAGATCACAAAACAATTATGCTGGGTGAAAGAAGCCAAACCAAAAAGAAGTAACAGATTTTATGGATCCCTTTATACAAAATTCTAGAAAATGCAGACTGACCGGTAGTGACAGAAACCAAATCAGTGGTTGCTTAGGGACAGTTGCGGAGAGGGAAGTATGAATTACAAAGTGACTTTTGGAGAAACTTCTGGGAATGATCGATATGTTCATTATGTTGATTGTGGTAATGGTTTCACAGTATACAGATGTCAAAACTCATCTAATTGTACACTTTTGCGGGGGGGGGGGAAGCGTGGCCCTGAGCTAACATCTGTTGCCAGTCTTCCTCTTTTTGCTGAGGAAGATTAGCCCTGAGCTAACATCTGTGCTCATCTTCCTCTATTTTGTATATGGGATGCAGCCACAGGATGGCTTGATGAGCGGTACGTAGGTCTGTGCCCAGGATCCAAACCTGCGAACCCCGGGCCACCAAAGTGGAGCATGTGAACTTAACCACTACGCCACCAGGCTGGCCCCTAATTGTACACTTTAAATATGTGCGACTTATTGTACTTCAAGTATACCTCAATAAAGCTCTAAAGAAAATTTTTTTCCCTGATAAGAGATCAGCTCTGAGATAGGCACTGAAGTTATCTCATCTAATGATAAAACAGAGCCTGAGTGGTTGGCAAGAAGACAATTCCATGACTAATGCGTATTGGACTGATTTTACTTTGTTTTGTTCTGGCACATTCTCTTCTCCACCACTCATCCCCAATTCCAAACATCTCAAGCATAAAACTCATTATTTCTTAGTGTTTAGAACCATGCTCCAGTATCAGCCTCGGATGATAGAATATGAAGTGATTACAATAATTGGAACAAAAGTTAATTCGGGCCGGCCCCGCGGCTTAGCGGTTAAGTGCACGCGCTCTGCTGCTGGCGGCCCAGGTTCGATCCCGGGCGCGCACCGACGCACCGTTTGTCCGGCCATGCTGAGGCCACGTCCCACATACAGCAACTAGAAGGATGTGCAACTATGACATACAACTATCTACTGGGGCTTTGAGGAGAAAAAAGGGGAAAAAAAAAAGGAGGAGGATTGGCAATAGATGTTAGCTCAGGGCCGGTCTTCCTCAGCAAAAAAGAAGAGGATTGGCTTGGATGTTAGCTCAGGGCCGATCTTCCTCACCAAAAAAAAAAAAAAACCAAAAAAAACCCAGTACTATTTCGTGTTTATGGATATACACATACTATACATTAAATGTATAAAAACCTGAAAGACAATGACAGACACCAAATGCAGGATAGATGTTACTCTGGAATGGGATTAGAATGGGTTACAGAGAGCTTCAATTGGATCGCTAATGCTTTCTTTCTTAGATGGATTGGGAAGTATTTGTGTGTTTGTTATATTATCACGTAGGAATTCGTAATTTTAAAAAATGTGTTAAAAACCAAACATTGAAGAAATAGAGTGAATGATACAGGTGGTTGGACATAGAGCAAATGATTTTATTTATTCATCTATCTCCTTGTGTGTTTGTTTCCCACAGTTTCTTTGTGCACTACCAAGAAGGGAAGGTTATGAGTTCTTTGTTGGACAGTGGACAGGTACTGAACTCCACTTCACTGCACTTATAAATATTCAGGTAGGTGGCTTGTGCTCATCTCCTAGAGGAAAGAGGCCTGCCCCTTTGTGGGACTGTGAGCCCCTGCTGAGGCTTGAGGACACAGAATATCTACTAACTCCCAGCAGTATTTGCTGTGAATGATCATACTTTGATGGTTGGGCTAGCTTTCCAGGCCCTACTCAATACCTAAAAATTGGAAAAGACCCCAAAACACATTCTCACACTACTTCTGGATCTCTCCTGTCTCTTCTCCAGATATTTACTGCATGTGTCTCACTTAACAAACATGAGTGAGTTATGATGGTTATCTTTTTTAACCTTAAGGTAAGCTCCATGTCTTACCTGTGTCTTATTAACCAGGTCAGCACTTTCCAAGATGCTACATGTATAGTTTCCGATCTATAGATGTTTTGTTTGCTTCTCTCCTTCCTTTCTTTTTCTTTGTTTTATTCTCAAATATTAGATTAAGAAGTTCAATCCAAAGCATTTGAAGCTTTTAAAGTAAGTCAGTATTTTAAATTAGGTCATCACTAGAATTGACATTTTTTATTTGGAGGCCAAATCTGGCAAAAAAACAAGCATTATTATAATGGCTTTAAAGTTGGGGTAAAGGGAGTGCAAAATAGAATGAGGGTTTGCTCGTGACAATATCCTTGTGATTGTATCCAAAAATTGTAAAATGTTTCTTAAAAAGAAAGAAAGAATGAGGAGGCAGCTTTCACTTTATTTTATAATTCATCCAACAGTCATTTATGGGGCACATACTATAATAACCATTTGATAGACTTACTATGTGCCAGATGTTTTATATACATTATGCCATTTAATCCTCACAAGTATCTCCTGAGATAGATACTATTATTATTTCTATTTACAGAGAAGAAAGTGGGCTCAGAGAAGTTACTTCACACTGCTAATAAGTGGTAGAGCTGGGATTGATTGACTCCAGGTTATTGATTCTAAAGTCTGTGAATTTAACCATTATGGTATTGTGTTGGAAAGCCCTATGCTAGGACTTGGAAATCTATTAGACAAGGTCCCTGCCCTTGTGAAGCTCACATACAAGTATAGGAAAAAGATCCAGAAACATAATTATGATCAAAATGATCAATATATTTGAAGTACGTTCGGGAGAATTAAGAGGCTGAACTATTAAGAGTACCCTAGCAATAATTAAGTATTGATAAATTAAAAGGACTCTTCCTGAAATTTTAGAGATGAAACCCAGAGAT